GAAGCCGCAGTCGTGGCAAAAGCCGGGGCAAATCTCAAGCCAAGAGTTGTGCACGAAGCAAAAGCCGAGCACGCAGTCGTAGCAGAGGAAGGAGCAAAAGTCGTGCTCGTGGCAAGAGTCGAGCTAGAAGTAAAAGCAGGGCAAGAAGCAAAAGCAGGGCTCGCAGTAGGAGTCGGAGCCGAAGCAAGAAGAAGAGTCATGCAAGGAGCAAAAGCCATGTCAGGAGGTCCAAGTCACGAAGTAGCAGTGGTGAAAAGAGCCGTGGCAAAGACAAAAAGAGAAAGAGGAGCCCCAGCCACAGCTGCAGCAGTGTAAGCAGTAGTAATAATCTGACCGGGAGTAGTCTGTTAGAAGGACTGAAGCTGGTCATGAACAGCAAAGAACTGGAAGAGCGGTTGCCCACCCTCAAAGATGCCATCCTCACTATTCAGGTAGAGCTCATCATACATTCTACAAAATATCTTATTTTAGTCAATTATCAGAGTACATCTCTATATAAAGTGTGGTTCTTGAAGATACTGTTTAGTTACACCAATGGCATTTTCATAATACTTACGCTATCCAAGAGTTCAAGCTAAAAGTGGTATCGACCAAGTGGAGCAGCAGTTTGCCTCACAGCTTGTCTATAAAACATTAACAAGATTATATGTACAGCTACAATTCCAGACAAACTACTAGCATGTATAAACCATAAACAGAAGTGCATCTATTGTCTTTATTATGATAATTTAGCGGTACAAGAAAATGGCTTGCGGCCTACTTCATGTTGACTTAAATACATTATGGGTGCACCTCGCCACAGACTGAAAGAGGTGTTAAATAGCTGATTGAATACTGCTCTGCTGAGTATTAAGAAATAACAAAAAATGTTTAAACATCTGAAAGTAAGTAAAGCAGAACCAAATGACTAGGGGCCATACTCATAATTGTGTACAGGCACAAAAAAGGCCTTGAAACAATCAGACTCCCCTTCCCACAGAAAAGCTGGGATTTTTAAAAACAAACTTGACAAGTGAATTCAACTCAATTCAGTTTTATTTATATAGTTTTCATAACAGAAGTCATTTCATTGCAGTTTTCACAAAGAGCAGGTCTAGACCCAACAATTGCCACCCTGAGCAAGCAGTTGGCAGATACAGTCAAAGAAAAACTCCTTTTTAGCAGGTACAAACCTCGAACAGAACCCTGACTCAGGGTGGGACTATTAATGATAATTCTATGGATGAGAAAGCACAACGGGCAGAGGGAAGAAGTCGAGTTAGTAACATGCATATATTTGCTTTATCATAAACTCAGGCTAGTGGTGTTGTGTGTTTGTGCTTTTAGACACCTAAGTATACCATAGTTTTTTCTGGTCGTAGGCTTCTGAAAAAACTCACCTTTCAGTGATATTCATCCTGAAAATCCTCATTCACTTTCCCATCAACTACATTTAACTATCGAGTAGGCCAATAAATAAAAACTATGGAGCCTGGGAGGTGACTTGAGCATAATTCTTTAACAAATTGTCAAGCACAGAATTGCTTTAGTACATCGCAGACAAGCTTTACTTACTGCTTTCAAAAGTGGCACACCAGCCAAACACTAACTAAACACTGAAATGGGCAGGGAGACAGCAAATATTTCCATTCTACACACAGTGTAAAGCCTCTGTGTGTAGAAACTACAGACCAAACAGCTCTTGTTTGTTATTATAAAGGTAAACATTACAAAGACAAAGAATAATAGTTAATACATTGCGCAGCTATAACTACAAAAATGCCAGTGCAAGTAAAGTGTCGTGTTATTAAATTTATATCTTCAGTTTTAACACTACTGCCTTCTGGGGAAAATGTAAATTATTTACTTCTATGTAAATAATGAGAATCGTAATTGTTCTGTATTAAAGCAATAAGCTGCATCTTTTATTATTGAAAATTATTTAATAAGGAATGACATTTTTGTTTTTTGCTGAAAAATAGAAAGGTTTGGAAAGTCAAGAGTAACAAACTTTCACTAGTGAGAAGGATTTTGGAAACATTAAAGAGGTGGTATTATGCTCATTTTCAGGTTCAAAATCCTACTTAGAGTTTGTTCCAGAACAGGTTTACATGGTTTAATTTTCAAAAAACACCAGATTTTTGTGTCATACTGCACATTGCTGCAGCTCCTCTTTTCTCCCTGTGTGAAGGCTTCGTTTTAGCTATGGAGTGATACATCTTGTCTCTAAATTATCTTTTGTTGGAAGTTGCACATGCGCAGTTCCTAGTTAAGGACTACTAGCCAATCAGAAGCAGAGAAAGGCTGGTCAGTGAAAAGACGGTAAACATCTTCGATTCAGCTGTAGGCTACATGTTGCCGACCAGCTTGGCAACTTGGACTGGAGCAAGAGTTTCAGAGTGGTGAGTTATTAATCTGTAACAAAAGTATCTTTCATCCATAAAGTTTTAACTGAGCTCTGTCTCTACATCACAGTAACAACTTTATGTCCATTGACCTCCTGGAGGGTAGCTAGTGTTTGGAAGGGTGAGGAGAGCTGTGTGCTGCAGCTCACTGTTTTTCAACCGGTGTTTTTGAGGGTGTGTCGGAGTAGCCGCTTGCCAAGCGTTATATGACGTCATTTCGAAACGACTGGACTACAAACGAGCTGTTTTCAAGCAATTCAGAGTTTTCTGTGGGAGATGGGAAATGACTTTGGGCTTTGCAAACCTGTTACATGCAAAAAAAAAGTCTAAAACAAAATAAAGGAGAGGGAAAAAGACAAAAAGCATTATACCACCTCTTTAACACTTAAAAAAGTTCAAATATGTTATGTAAGCACTAGATAAAATACTTTAAATCATAGTTAGTTAATGCATCTCTTTCTCCTGTACAGGCCTCAGATGAAAGCAAAAAAGTGGAGCTTGTGCCGGATGAGCACAGACATCAGAAACATGACAGTCTGGAGAATTCAACATCATTGGAAAACGACAGTATGCTCCTTCCCCATGACAGAGTAGGCAGCGACTTCTCTTGGCTTCAGGCTCAAAGTCAAGAGGAATCTGCAGTCCAGAAAGCTGATGAGCTGGAAGATGAAGAGTCGTTCTTGTATGGGAATGAAGACACTGGAGGAAAACAAGCCATTAAGTCCTCCACTACACTTTTTGCATCGATTTCCCAGATTGGAGGCCATGCCAAACTACAAGACATGGATAGTGTTGCTCTTGGCAGTCAACAGCATCAGAATAGGTCTGTATTCAGTAATGTAGGGGATGTGCTTGATCTGAAGCAACCCCTTCAAATTACTTCCTCAAGCTTAGTCAATCTGGACAGCAGTGAGTGTGAGAAGATCAAGAACATTTTAAAAAGTCTGGGCACAGCAGACATCAGCGAGATCATGGTGAAGATGCAGGGGCAGAAGGAGGGGAAGCAGATACCTCCTGTACTTCTCGGCTCAGAAGCAACAGCAGCAGGCTTAACATTGCCAGCACTGAATAACCCGAACGTACGGCAAGCTCTGGAGTCTCTACAGTCTCTGATCAAAGGTGAGAATACTGTATTGAATAAAAGATTAAACTTCATCATAGTCGTAGTTAGGGCTGCAGCTAATGATTATTTTCATAGTCGACTAATCTCAATTATTATTTCGATTAGTCAATCATCCATCCATCTATGTATCCATCCATCATCAACCAAACATATAGGTACAGGGTCGCGGGGGGGCAGGAGCTAATCCCAGCTGACATCGGGCAAAAGGCGGGTTACACCAGGGACATTGCCAGGATTTTGAAAAATTGGGGGCTTAGCCCAGACCAGTTTTCACCTGATAATTTTGCTGAAAAATTTCTGTTTTAAATACTTAATTTCCTGCATTCTGGTGAATTTGTCTGGAACAACTTATTGAGGAAAAAATCATGCACTGCATTTAATGGTTTACTAATGTATAATCCAGTGCAGCTCTCAGGCATTCTATATTGCTGTCAGATATGTTTCTCCTGTAGATCAACTTATTTCATTCTTCCCTGCTGAATTAACACACATGTAGGCATTACGGAAGTTAAGTCTTTGTGCATATGGCACCTTTTCACCTCTATGATAAATCAATTAATTTCAATTCAGTTATAAACCCCTGCACTTTATTAGCTCCTGTGTTTCAGCAGGTTTTCTGCTCATGTTCTAAACTTTCTGAACATTCAAAAACCCTCCCACATCTGTGATCTCTGACATGTCCAGAAATTGTCAAGTGAGACACACTGTTGGAAGACAATAAAATAGTTTGAAGGTGTAATATTTACAAAATATTTGAACATGAGCAAAAAACCTGCTGAAATACAGGAGCTATCAAAGTCCAGGAGTTAATAACAGAATAAAAATAAATTAATTTAGGGGTGGTGATAGCGTAGTGGATAAGATGAGATAAGATGCATCTTTTGGTGTGCCCGGTTCAATTCCCCACTGACACGTCCACCAATGTGTCCCTGAGCAAGAGACTTAACCCTTAGTTGCATGCGTAAAGTCGTGCGAACTCTGACATGTATAGCAATTGTAAGTCGCTTTGGATAGAAGGTGCCACATGCCCATTTAAAGAGGTTACTTCTTCAAACAAAAGACACAAAAGAGGGATATTACATGAGAAACGTTCATCTACTGGAGAAACATCTAAAAGTAAAATTATTTTCTGCATTATATTCTGTTTTCTGAATTTCACCCTAAAAATACAGAAAAATTCACCAGAATGCAGGAAATTAAGTGTTAAATGCTCAGAATTTCATATAATTCAGCATTGAAGATTTCTTAAAAATTGTGTTGGTCTCATCTTAATCTCATGAACCCAATATTGTGTTTCGTCTCAGGAGCTGTCTCATTACACCCCTACTACTTTGTGAAACATATATTATTCCACAGCTGAAAATAGTCCCCAGCAAATGCACTATTTACTCCTGTAATGCTTGTTAAAAATTGCAGAGCCGAGCTAGTTTAGGAAGTCACTGGACTTTTTTAAAAATACACTGAACAAAATTATAAATGCAATGCTTTTGTTTTTGCCCCCATTCGTCATGAGCTGAATTCAAAAGATCTAAGATTTCTCTATAGCCCCTTTTCCACTGCACGGTACCAGCTCGATTTGCCTCGCTTTGTTTGGTTTTCCATCGTGGAAAAGTTGTACCTGCTTCCAGGTACTTTTTTTTGGTATCACCTCTGCCGAGGTTCCAAGCTAGCTGAGGCGATACTAAAATGTGACGTGAAAACACGGCAGACTGCTGATTGGTCAGAGAGAATCGGAGTTCCTGGGCTGGTGTGGTTACATGTGGTATGCAGCTGTGAGGCCAGTTGGATTTGCTGCCAAAGTAATCAGTCAGTGTCATTGTTATTAATGCTTTCACATGTAGTAATCTGATATCCACTATATCAGAGGTCTGCGCTCTACTGAAAGCATGTTAATAGAAATAATCGACACAAATGTACATGCCTTGATCAGCATTACCAGTACTGATTTGAGTAAATGTATCACTTACAGTTGGTGTTGTCTTCATAGGCCTACTTGTGAGCGGCTGATTTTTTGCAGTTTAAATGTGAACGTTGAGTTTGCATATAGAGATGTTTGCCACATTGGTAAGTTAGCTAAAATGCTAAAACCAAATTAAACCGTTAACTTTGCCCTTAAATTATCGTCAAACTCTGATGCAAGAAAAGTTAGCTGTCACACAATATATCACACTCATTCGACTGATCTTTTACAGATGGGCTTTGTGGTGTCCAGGGTCTTGCTTCCACTGTCGGCTACATAAGCAAAATAATTCTACAGTTTGCTCCATGCGTCTGCTTTGTTGACAAGCCGTGGAAGAGCTTGTGTTTTTAGCCAAGTCTCTCCGGGAGCTGCAGCGTAAGCCACGCCCACTCTGCTGGCAGGGAGGGGAGCGGCTGAGAGCTGCGCACACACATACTGCTCTGCGTGGAGGAGCTCTGTCATTGTTAAAGTATCGATTCTATAATAAAAGGCAGTATTGTATTGTTTGTAACATCAGGGTGTGATACCTTTCTAGTATCAGTATACAGTGCAACACTACCCAGGGTGAAACCTGAAGTTACCTTGCTAAACTCTGATCCTGCTTCATAGTACAGGCCTCTGACCTGTGCGTATGCATGGTTAATGTCTTTCTTATTTTGGTGTACGTTACTTTTCTAAAGGTAGTCATTTAGAATTATAAGATGTGTCAAGTTCATTTTGGAACTCTTTCTCTCCAGTTGTCAAGGAGAAGGAAGTGTATCTGATAATCTGGAAAGTGATGCCACATGGCCTGATGATTTTTCTTCTCTGTCTTTATTGTTTAATGCATTTGATGTAGAATATAGGGTTATGTTGTTGTACTTTCTTTCTCAAGCAACAAAGGAGAAGCGGGCAAAAAGAGATGGCAGTGGCACATCTCAGACATCCTCTGATAAACACAAGGTAAAGGATTTCTAAGCTCATTCACTGACTCCTCAGCATCCAAGTGGTAAAGTTGAACACATTAAAAAATAGAAAAATCCCTTATTTATGAACTTGTCGCTTGTTTTCCAGGCAGGGGACGAGGAGGAAAGGAAGAGAGAGAAACAAGCAAGAATAAGTAAAATGGAGTCCTTGATGAAAGAACTGGAGGAATTGTTGAAACAGGATGGTAAACCAGTTTTCTCCAGGGACAATCCTGTATTTCCTGTTGTCTTTATTGTCATCCAGATGGTAAAATATTCTTAGAAGCTTCAATGCTTTTTTTGTGCATTTGCAGGATTGAGTTTTCTGACACCAGTAATTGGGTTTTACTGCCAGAAATGTGAGGAGTTCATTGGAGATTTGAATAGTGCCGAAAACCATGCCAACATCCACCACCATAGTAACTCTAGCAGTGTAAGTATTCTTCCTATTTACCTCATGGTGTGGATAAGTCTGGTGATATTATACATTTTTTATTTTAACCAAAGCCCATGAACAGACCAATTCATACAATGAATATATCTACTAAAAGGAGTGTATGTGGATCAAAGGCTAAAATATCATCCTCCTGACCATAGAGCTCCATTGTTGTCTATTGCACTATTAATGTAAACACAGAGACTGCCTCCTCGGGTCTTATCGGAGTCTTGTGTTCAGTCAGCAAGGAACACACTCCACCTGTGTCTTTTCTCTCTTCGTTGGGCGATCGCAGCACTTGTGGTGACGTTTAGTCTGGCTGGATGATCTGTAGATGCCTTGTACAAAGATGGTCTCATGGTCTGCTGCACATAATCCAATGTAATGTAGGTCAAATGACCAGTAATCCCACTTTCCTCTTATGTTTTTTCGTTTTTCTAAAATGAACATCGTACAAAAACAATATAATACAAATTGCATTCAATTCTTTAATATAAATAAAAACATTAAAAAAAAACATAAAACATCATCCATGAGTCCAGTGAGAAAGGGTGCATTTCATTGCTTATAAATTTGTAAAAGCCTTTGGATTTTTTGTGGGTTTTTTTTAGCCTTGCTTTAGGCAGTTTGCCATAAAATAAGCTTTGTACATTGATTCTCTAATGGATATGAATCCTGTAATTTTTATCAACCCCATGGCAAACATTACATTTTAGCCCCATTCATATTTTAGCCCCATTACTAACAAGGCCAAAAGCTAAATCCTCATTGTTAAGGTGGTCGTAGACTCATTGGTTTCTTTATCTTAACACTGCAAAATTGTTTTTTGTGTTTTTAGCAGATTGTGCAGATGGACAACCATGCTAAAGACAGCAAAGGACACTTGCACTATTTTAAAGGTACCAGTAGCCAACACTCGCATCCCTCAGACAGGAGAGTTAACAAGGACTACGGTTACCATAGAGATTCAGAAGATCACGGAAATCACAGAGACTGGAAAGACGAGAGAGATCACAGAAGCAAACACAACGACGACCACAGAGGCCACAGGGCCAAGCAGGAAAACATCTCCTTGAAAGAGGAGATGAGGAAGGAGAGGATGCTCATAACGGTATCCCGTGGACGGACACCTCCTCCAGACATCAAGGTCAAGGAGGAGGTGAACAACAAGCAGGCCATTGGGAGCCATAGCAAAGTGGAAGACACGGACAAAAAGGGAAAATCATCCAAAGAGAGCAGAGAAAAAGATAACCAAGTAAAAGATGAAAGCAGTGAAAGTAGTGATGATAACAAAGGAAAAACACATAAAGCAAAATCACCTAAAAAGAAAAAGAAGAAGGAGAAGAAGAATAAGAAGAAAAAGGAGAAGGGGAATAAGTCCTAATTGTTGTATTATGCTTCTCAGTTTCCATTTCTATGTTACCCTGATTCCTGGGGTGATGATGGAAGCTTGTTGCAGCCCAAGTTTCTACACTTAAAAAGGCCAAGTTTTATCATTGCACTCCTGGGAATCAAGTTATTTTTTTTCCTCTTCCCAGTTAGTTTTTGTTTTGATGGTAAGAAGAAGAGGGAGATGGGCATCGAGGACTAATTCATCATTGTGCAAGGGACAGTGTGGAAGTGCACTTGTTGCTGTCAGCTTCAGTCAAAAGATAAGGTTTATATCAGTTTTATCCTTGTGCATCTAGTACGGAGATGGGTCTTACCCAGACTTGGCACCAAGACTGGAAGCAGGTTTCCACTCTTGATTGAGTTGCCTCCAGTGTTGGTGCCAACCAAGGCTAAATGCATCCCAGACTGATTTTCAAACAAGTGCATTTTCCAGAATGTCAACATGCTTCCTATTGTTAAGTGGTCTACAGATTCTTAAATGACAATGCATATGTTAATGTATGGCATGTCTTAAGTATTTCCTCACATCCTGGTTTTATCTTTCAATTAAATGTTTGAAAAATTAAGCGGTGAATTATTTTTGTCAACATCCTTATCTTTGTCAATACCATTGCTTCTGCGTGTGTATTTTCCAAGGACCAACAGCATTGTAGTGTTGTGGTTTGTAGTGAGTTCCATTTTCTTCCATGCATTTTTATCTGAACTACAAGACGTCTGTCTCCTGTGGTGGCATTGTAGATGAAAGGAAAATACAAAAATATGTTCAAATAAAAAAGGTGAAAAACTACAATCTTGTTGTCATTAAGTGATCGCGTGGATGTATATCCTCTTTACAGTGCATTGGCCATCAGTTACGAAAAAGGCAACTTTTTACAGGTGGGCAGAATCCTGGGCAGAAAATATCCTACTGTTGAGAGTAATGCTGAATTATCTCCCCCCTCTTGCTAAAGAGTTTCCTCGATAACAAATGCAATCACTGTCTGAATTATATTTATAGTGCTACTTACATATCTCACAGGAGCTGTGGTGGCATGTGTTAGGTAGGAAACAAACGTTGAATATAGGGAAAGGTAGTAGTTTAAGTTAAATGTCAATAAACGTGTCACATACTCCATCACTCCACACCATGATCTTTCCTTAATCTTAACCAAAATCCCTGAGTGCCTTAACATGACCATAAAAAGGGGGGAAAAATGCTGTAGACACTATAAGCGGATGTTGACTCTTTCTCATTAGGTTAATAGAAAATTGGCATTATGTTTCCTTTAAATTGTGTTTGCTGTAGGAAATGAGTTCTTTATAAACTTAATTTCTAGTGGACAGGTTGTTCTATCTGCACATTGTTTCTGCAGTCTTTCCCCTTGTTTATGAGGAAAATCTGTACTAGGAAAAACCCAGGTGTTACTGATAACACTAAGAAAGTTCTGTTATAATCAAGTGTCCCAGTAAGACGTGCCAGTGAGTAGGCATGCAGCAGACATTAAAAGGTTATAGCAGGAAAATCCCATATTTCTTTGACTTGCGATTTTCCTGCTATGATTAGTCAAACTGTCTGCTGTGAAAGGGGTTCACACCAGGACCCCTTTAACTGAAGCAGGTACATAGACTTCAGCAATCATTCATTTGATTATACACACTTGTGAGTGCAGACATGTGAGACACTGAGTTCAACCATTCCCTCTCTGGCCTTTGCAACCTTACAGTATCTTTTATCGGGAGGTCATCGCCGACTTTGTCAACTGGTGTGAGCTTAACCAACTTCACCATTAATACCGGCAAGACAAAGGAGATGTTGGTAGACCTCCGCAGGAAGGCGTCCTAGACTACGCTGGTGAACATCCAGGGTTTGGATATTGAGATGGTGGGAACTTGGTGTTCCCCCTCAACAATAAACTGGGTAGGTTCAACAACACAGATGTCCTGTACAAGAAGGTCCAAAGTCATCTTCATCTGCTGAGGAGACTGAAGTACTAAAGCACTGTGGTGGCATCTGCAGTAGTCTGTTGGGGAGCTTGAAGCCCAGAGAGGAACAGAAAAAGACTCAATAAAGTGGTTAAGAGGGCTAGTTCTGTCCTTGACTGCCCTCTAGACACCATAGAGGAGGCCGGTGAGAGGACGATGTTAGCCAAGCTGATGTCAACCATGGACAACACCTCTCACCCCCTGCATCAGACTGTGTGGTTCTTGAGCAACGTCTTCAGGAATAGACTGCCGCACCCTCAGTGCAAGAAGGAGCGGTACTACAGCACTGTCACTTTTATTTCTGTACTGTGTAAATACACATTATTATAATATTTCTTATTCACACTGTACCTGTACTGCACATCCATAGCCCTACTTTTATAGCCTCTATTGACGCTAAACTACACTGCTGGATTCTGTCCTGTCCAATATGTTTGTACACATGCATCTACCTCCTGCTGTGACCTATGCTATGTTCCATATTAATCACATCTGTATATAAAAGGTATATACAGTATAGCGTACACAATTTTTCTTGTCTTTCTATTTCTTTTATATTTTGTGTGGTATGTGTATTTTCGTGTCTGTTGTGATGTATCTGGAGCTGCTCTTTCAACTGAATTTCCCCAGTGTGAGACCAATAAAGTCTATGATCACGCCAGTGATGTATCAAAATGTCTTCTGTTAAATGGTGGTTCCCACTTGGTGAAAACTCAGAACTCAGAAAACTGCAGTCGCCATGCTCCCAAAAGGTTATAATGTCGATGTAATATGTATGTATAATGACTCGATGGGTTGGGGGTGAGAGAGAGAGAGGGCAAGAGAGGAACAGAGAGAAAGAGAGAGAGGGATGGAAGGAGAGAGAGGGGAGGGAGGCAGCCTACACAATATACACACACAGAGGTACAGACAGTAAAGGTGATGTTGCTATAGACTAAATGAAAAATGGTACAGATATTTATAGTAGTGTTAATGATAACAATCGTAATGTTAATGATTATAATAACAATAATAACAATAGGACTAGTAACAATAGTTGTAGGAGAGGGTGTCAAGCAGGAACACGGGGGCAGCAGGTGACCCGCAGCCACAGATCCAGACTCCACAGCTCCAGAGCTAGAAAACCTGCAGGAAGTGATAGGAGGAGAGAGGAGAGGGACGAGAAAGCACAAGACTACGGGAAAGGGGAGAAGTTGTGTTAGTAACATGCAATAATGCGATGAGGTTGCATACAGAGGGAGAGAAAGTAGAGGAGAGAGGAGCTCAGTGCATCATGGGAAATCCCCCGGCAGTCTAGGCCTATAGCAGCATAACTAAGGGATGGTTCAGGACTCACCTGAGCCAGCCCTAACTATAAGCTTTATCAAAGAGGAAAGTCTTAAGCCTACTCTTAAATGTGGAGATGGTGTCTGCCTCCTGAACCCAAACTGGAACCTGGTTCCACAGGAGAGGAGCTTGATAGCTGAACGCTCTGGCTCCTATGATCTGTGATCTCTTTTCCTGGTTCCTGTCAGAACACGTGCTGCAGCATTCTGAATCAGCTGGAGAGTCTTAATGGACTTTTTCGAGCAGCCTGATAATAAAGAATTGCAGTAATCCAGCAGTAACAAATGCATGGACTAGTTTTTCTGCATCATTTTTAGACAGGATGTTCCTGATTTTCGCAATATTACGTAGGTGAAAAAAGGTGGTCCTTGAAATTTGCTTAATGTGAAACTTAAACAACATGTCCTGATCAAAGATAACTCCAAGATTCCTCACAGTGGTGCTGGAGGCCAGGGCGATGCCATCAAGGGAAACTATCTTTATATAATGCATCACGGAGGTGCTTAGGCCCCAGAAGAATAACTTCAGTTTTATCTGAGTTTAACATTAGAAAATTACAGGTCATCCAGGTTTTAACATCCTGAAGGCACATTTGAAGTTTAGCTAACTGAGTAGTTTCATCTGGCTTGATCGATAGATATAACTGAGTATCATCTGCATAACAATTAAAGTTTATGGAATATTTCCTGATAATATTGCCTAAAGAAAGCACATATAAAGTGAACAAGATTGGTCAGGACAGATCCTTGAGGAACTCCATGACTAACTTTGGCGTGCATGGAGGACTCATCGTTAACATGTACAAACTGAAATCGATCTGATAAATAGGACTTAAACCAGCTTAGAGCGGTTCCTTTAATGCCAATGAAATGTTCCAGTCTCTGCAATAGGATCCGATGGTCAGTGGTATCAAATGCAGCACTAAGATCTAGTAAAACCAGTACAGAGACAAGTCCTTTGTTTGATGCAATAAGGAGGTCGTTAGTAATTTTCACCAGTGCTGTCTCTGTACTATGATGAACTCTAAATCCTGACTGAAAATCCTCAAATAAACTATTGCTCTGTAGAAAGTCACACAGCTGTTTAGCAACTGCTTTCTCCAGAACCTTAGAGAGAAATGGAAGGTTAGATATAGATCTATAGTTGGCTAAAACATCTGGATCAAGTTTGGGCTTTTTCAGAAGAGGTTTAATTGCAGCTACTTTAAAGTACTGTGGTACATAGCCTGTTGATAGAGATAGATTGATCATATCTAGTATAGAAGTGCTGACTAGAAGGAAGGGTATAGAAGGGTAAAACTTCTTTAAGCAGCCCAGTCGGGATGGGGTCTAAGAGGCAGGTTGATGGTTTAGATGAAGAAATTATTGAAGTTAGTTGGTAAAGATTGAGGGAAGCAAAACAGTCTAAACATGTATCTGGTTCTACAGCTGTTTCCTGAGTTTAGAGATAAGTCGGTGCCAATTGAGGGCAGGTCTTGGTGAATTTTGTTTCTAATAGTTAGAATTTTATCATTAAAGAAGCTCATGAAGTCGTAACTACTGAGAGCTATGGGAATACTTTTTGCCCAGTGGCGTGTAGTTCAGCAATACAAACTCAAAAGTTATCAAACAGTGGTCGGATACAGAGGGATTCTGTGGGAAAACTATTAAATGTTCAATTTCAATACCGTATACCAGAACAAGGTCGAGGGTGTGGTTAAAACAGTGAGTCGGTTCATGAACACTCTGAGAGAAGCCAATGGAATCTAACAGAGAGATAAACGCAGTACTAAAGCTGTCATTCTCAACATCCACATGAATATTAAAATCTCCTACAATAATAACTTTGTCCGTTTTAAGGACTAAAGTTGACAAAAACTCTGCAAATTCAGATAAGAATTCAGAATACGGGCCAGGTGCTCGGTACACTATAACAAAAAGAATTGGTTGCAGTGATTTCCAACTTGGGTGCGAAAGACTAAGAACAAGACTTTCAAATGAGTTATAGTTTAGTTTAGGTTTAGAGCTGATTAGTAGGCTAGAGTCGAAGATAGCTGCAACTCCACCTCCTCGGCCTGTGCCTCGAGGAATGTGAGTATTAATATGAGTGGGAGGGGTGGATTCATTTAGGCTAACATATTCTCCATCACCCAGCCAGGTTTCAGTAAGACAAAACAAATCAATATCATAATCTGATATTAGTTCATTTACTAGTACACCTTTAGAAGAGAGAGATCTGATGTTTAAGAGTCCACATTTAACTCTCCTATTCGTTTGCACTATTGCTCTTGTGGTTTTAATTTTTATGAGGTTTTTATGCACAGCTCCTCTTCTGTTTACCTTTGATTTAAATAATTTCGATGGTCAGAGGACAGACACCGTCACTATAGGGTTTTCAGTCAAAAGTAGGAATGTCCTAATCCCATTTATTGCTCCCTATACTTAAAATATTCTGGTATCAAATGTTTATTTTAACTATGTTTTTGTTCATTTTTTACCTACTTAATATGTGTGCAAAATAAGT